AGGAGGAAAAGGGGATAATAGCAGAGGGACCCCGTCAACTTCCCCTACCCTTGGTGGAGTCTCAGAGCTTGGCAGAGGAAACATGGGGCCCAAGGTACATGACTGGCTCCTGAGTTCTCTCACACACTGTCCATGAGCTAGGGGTAGTCAGATACAGCCAGGGATAGATAGGACAACAGGGCTACCATGCCCTTCTTTCTCTACACATCAGTCCCCATATGTCCAGTCATCTCAGGTCCCCAGCAGCATCAGGGACAGAAAGGACAAGAGTACTTCAGCAAGTACTTTAGCTACCTGCAGGAAAGACATACGCCAGCCCTGAGGAGAGGAGGAGTGCTTCTCTGCAGACTGACACGTTGAACCCTAACCTCCAATGTATTGGTGTTTGGATGTGGGCCTTGGGGAGGTCATTAGGTATAGATTAGGTTATCAGGGAGGGCTTCCTCTGAAGGAATGCGTGCCCTTGAAATAAGACACCAGAGCTTGCTTCCTCCCTCTCTCTGCCACGTGAGAGTGAAGATCAGTCATGAAGAGTCAGTGGCACCTTCATCTTGGTCTTCCCAGCTACCACTCTGTGAGAAAATAAATTTCTATTGCTTAAGCTATCTACTCTGTGGTATTTTGTTACGGCAGCCAGAGCTAAGAGGAGAATAAAGAGCTAATGCCTCTCTCTCTGCTGTCTGGCTTCTTTGCTTACCTAAGGAGTGGGAAGAGGCAGGTGCAGATGTTCCCGAGCTGCTGGATGGCTCTGCTTAGCACACTGTTGCTGCCAGTGCCTGAAACCTGTTCAGTCACAGCTCAGGTCTCTTGGCTCAAGAGCTTTGTCTCTATTTAAACAAAAATATTCAGGGCAGGAGCAATGCACTGAGTGCTAGCAGTTACACTCCAGTAAGAATTAAGTCATCAGTCGTTCTCTATAAGTTTTAATGTGGGTGTGCAGTCAAAAAGGAGTGTGAAAGGCATGGAAGACAAGCTTTGTGGAAGACAAGCCTAAATCCTATGGCAAAGGAGCAAGGACAGACTTGCAGGAACCCCAGCAAACGACAGGATTATAAAACCCCTGCAGAAGGGGTGGGCCTTCCTGCCACAAGAGAAGCTGACATGAGTGCTTTTGGAAATAACGTTTTATTTATTTACACACTATGAAAGGCCCAACCACTGCAAAAGGGCACAGGGCCAAAAGTTTCTCTCACTCCTGTCTCCCATCCTAAGGTTGCCAGTTTTTTGTGAAGCTTTTTTAAGACAGTCTTTGCATATTTTATGCACACATAAACAACCAGCAGCAGACTGTTTGCCCTAGTCTACACTGTGCCACCTATCAATAACCTCATAGCTTAGAAATGACTCAGTTTCGAACACATCTGGATCTACTCCTTAATGACTGCACAATATTCCACTGTATGGCGTTACCCAATCACTCAATCATGGAACTTATTTTCTAGTCCTTTACTCTTCATTTTGTCAAAAACTATGTATTGTGGCTAGGCATGGTAGCTCATGCCTATAATCCCAGCTACTCATGAGGCAGAGATCAGAGGGATCAGAATTCAAGGCCAGCCCAGGCAAAAAGTTGAAACCCCAATCCCAACCAATAAAGCTAGGTACCTGTGCTCCTAGCTACTCAGGAGGCATAAATAAGAGGATCAAGGTTGAGGCCAACCTGAGCAAAAACTCCACACACTATCTGAAAAATAAGGCCAAAAGGGCTGAGGGCATGGCCTTAAGTGATAGAGGGCCAGGCCATGAGTTCAAACTCCAGTACAGTAAAATAAAATTTAAAAGTATGCATGCGGGCCACGCACTGTTCAAAGAGGCTCGGAACAGAGAATAAAACATTTGCCACTGAAGAATGCACAACCCACCTGCAGAGGTGAACATTCTTGTGCCTACCTCTAGTAAGTTCACCGGTGTGAATTTACTGCTACCACAAATGCTCAAGGTAGCAGTGCTGGGTCAGGGGAACATACATTTCTCATTTTGACTCTGCAGATCTCCCAATTTACTCTCTCACCCTCTGAATATCTTTCCACTGTAGCTGAGGGCTGAGGGTGCAGCTCAGTAGGACAGCATGTGCCTAGCATGTGCGAGGCCCTGGGTTTGATCCCCATAATCCACGCAAAAAGCCAGTAGTGCTTTAGATAACAAATTTTTTAAGAATCCAAACTTAGTTCTCTAGATAAAAGTATTCATGATTACTGAGCAACAACTGAGGAACTAGGTGTTATGTTTGAGTAAGAAATGTACCCCACAGGTTTGTATGTTGAAGACTTGATCCCCAGCTGGCTTTTGCCACTTTGAGAGGTGGTAGAAAAGTAGGAGGTGGGGCCTAGTTGGGGGACATAGGTCACTGGGCATGTTCTGGAAAGATATCCCTTGTCCTCCTCCCCTTCTTATCTGTCTCACTCTCTACCTCCTGTCCCCCAGGAGGTGAGCCACCCTGCTCCACCACACACTCCCTGCCATGGTGCTCTGCCTCAGCATGCACAGCCCCAGAAGCAACGGGACCAAGTGACCATGGACTGAAACCTCTGAAACCATGGACATGAGGACAAAGGGCACACACCCAGATCTGAAAAGGGCTTGGATCCCTAATAACTTCATGGACCCACCAAATATCAATACAGATTGCCTGCTGCCCCCAACATCTGTTATGTGAGAAATGTTTCTCTCCTGCCATCTGATGTTTTTGTTCTATGCAGTTAAATTGAATCCTAACTTACAGAATAATGGTGGTTGGAAAAAGACATTATCTTCCAGCCTCCCTTGCAGCTACGAACACTAGCCAATGTGGCCCTATTTTGGCCAATGAGATATAAAGGAAGGTGTGGTGGAGAGAAGGGTGTGAGGAGGAATTTCTGGAATATTTTTCTTCCCTAATGAAAAACAAAATGAAAAATAGATGTATGGCAGAACTCCCAGGTTGCCACCCTGACTAGCAACCCACCCCCTGCTATCTGCCCTTGGTTTTGATTGTGAAGATGTGAACCTGGAGCTATGGCAACCATTCTATATTCATGAAGCTACAAGTCCATGGACAAAAATCCAACCAGCAAGGACAGCTTTGCAGTACAGAAAAACCCAGGCCCTTCGGAAAATTGAGGTACTCCAGACCACTGAAGAGTTCACACTGTTAATCAGGTTTACCGTCACTTGCAACCAGCATGTCCTTTAGGGACCAAGCACTGAAGGAAAATTGAATCTTTGTAAAGCTTGGAGGTGATGAGCCTATGACTCTAACCCCATGAAGGAGACATCTGGATTCTGTGGATTATTTGTTAGATGTTTTTTTGAGGACAAGAAATAAAAATGCCAAAAAAGTTAGACAAGGCTGAACACTAAGAAATGAGCTCTAGACTCAGCTGATTCAAGTGTTCGACAATTCATCAGGAACCCTAGATCTGCCTTTCTTTATGCCTTGCCATTCTTGAAGTGGTTTTCATTCCCAGCGTGTGTCCCATCTTGCACGGCAGACATGTCCAAGGCTGTCCATGGGTCTGTGCTTTCTCCATCCTCTTCCAAATCCAGCTGTACTTTATTGCTCTTCTTCCAACATTCCAGGTAGACACCTGCTCCTGTTCTCTCCAATAGCTGTTCCCCTCACCTCTCATGCTCTTCCTGCACTTGTCCACCTCGTTCACTCATCACCTTCAGGTCTTTACTCAAATGCCACCTTCCAGGCTGGAGGCATGGCTCAAGCAGTAGAGTACCTGCCTAGCAAGTGCAAGGGCCTGAGTTCAAACCCCAGTACTGCCATTAAAAACAAAATAAAGTCAAATGCCACCTTCCCAGTGAGATTGGCCGTGACCACACTACTTGAGATTATCGCCACTTCCCAACTTCCTATTGTCTTCCTGCCTTAATTTTTCTGCCCAGCATGTAACTGCAGTCAACATGGGCACATTTTCTCTGTCCTCATTGTCTGGGCCCCCACCTGCTTAGAAGGTGGCTGGGAAAGGGCAGAGATGTTTATCTGATTGCTTATCCTCATTTCCCCAAGACCCAGCAGAGTAGGTGTTTGAGAAATAATCTGCAGAAGTATGGAGTCACAGTCTACAGATGGACAACATCCAGAGGAAGAGGTGTGTGGGGGGGGGCTGTTTCCAGAGATTGCCCCACCCATCAATCTCCAGGCTTCCCCCAGCATCTTATCCAAAATTGGGCAGGCTGGGCCTCAACCAGTCTGTAACTCCACAGTGGAGCTGCCCACGTGCTAAGGAGGGATGGGGCCCTGAGCACCTAGCAGCTCTGGTGGTACCCCTGATTCTCATTTCTCGTGGGCTTTCTCTCCTCATTCCTTCACTGTCCTGTGTCAGCACTCTGCACCCCCTTCCCTAAAACCCCATCCACACCTCACCCCGCCGGAATCCGGCTCCTAACCCTGCCTCGCACCACGGATAAGTAAGATCTACGTATTTCTAAAGGCCTTAGCTTGAGCTGTCCTGCTGTCCAGTGTCCATCCTCCATCCCACTCGTGGCTGGCCCTCGGGTGCTCATGCCCACCTCAGCTGCCACTCTCCCACGTGTCCCGGACTCCCTTCCTATGTCCACCTGCAGCCTCTGCCACCGCGGGCTTCTGGCAACCTCTTCCACCTCTAAGATCAGTGACCCCCAGGAAAGCCCGCTGCGGCCTCCCCTTTCTCCACCTGTCCCCTCATTCACCTGCTGGGAATCCTTGGCGAGTAAAGTGGCTTCACGCTGAAGCCCAAGGGTTGCGAAATCGCAGCACGGTTGGGGGACGGGGCTGGAGATGCCAAGCCCCCGAGCGGCGCGAGGGGGCTCCGGGCGGCGGGGGGAGAGGGAGGATGGGGACGCCCACTGCCCCCGCGACCCAGTCCCCGCACCCGCGGAGACACAGGCGCCTCGTCGTCCCGGGACCGAGCGGGGGCAGCGGGGAGGGGCTGCGGGGAGGGCGCGGCCCAGCGGCGACCCGGGCTCCGACCGCCGGCCGCCCGGGGGCGGAGGGTGGGGCCGCCGCGGCCTTATTTCCGCGTGCGCGGGCACCGAGCCCGGCTCCGTCGAGCGCCCCGCCAGCCGCCCGCGTCCATGCAGCCCCGCCGGCAACCGCCGCCCGCGCCCCGGCCCGGCGCCCCGCTGCTCGCGCTGCTGCTGTTGCTGGCCGTGCCGGCGGCGCGCGCGGAAGGGCCGGGGCGGCCGCAGGACGCGGGGCTCCCACGCGGGATCCTGCAGCAGGCGGCGCGCGCGGCGCTGCACTTCTTCAACTTCCGCGCCGGCTCGCCCAGCGCCCTGCGAGTGCTGGCCGCCGTGCAGGAGGGCCGCGCGTGGGTGAGTGCGGCGACGCGACGGGGCGCGGGCGGGGACACCGGGGCGCGCGCTCCCGCCCATGACCGAGGCGGTGGTCGCGCCACGCGGGGACACGGCGTCCACGCCTTAGCGCCGCCTGAGGCCAGGGCGTGCGGGGGCGGGGGGTCCCGGCGCGCAGAGGCCGCGGATCGCCGGCTGCTTCTGTTCAGCGCTTACGAGGCCATGGACTTTTCACAGGTCAGGGCTCTTGACAGCTCTCGTACCTGAGAGAAGGATGCGCAGGAAGCTGGTTGAGCACCAGGCCCCAAGGACAGCCTTCATCTTGTTGGGGCGCCCAGAGTAGGCCCCTGTGGCAGTGCTCAATGAGGGCGACACCCAGTCGTGGCTCCTGCCAAAATCTAAGCCAGCTCCCAGATCGAAGACACTCACTGGCTCTTGGTCATTGCAGGCCACCATGCAAGGCCTTTGGGGATGCGGTGGTTGGAGTTCACACGTGGGCCAGGGCAGGACCTTCTTTCAAGTGCCGGGATCACTCCTCCAGTGGGAGTGAGTGAGCTTAGCTTGGCGGTAGCTTTCGTTAGGAACTGGAAGAAAGAGAACTTTACAAGGCACTGTGTTTGTGAAGTTACACTGCTTTCCTCATCAACAGAAAGTTACAAAACCTGGAGAGCCACACTGACCAGCTGTCAGTCCCCAAATATTCCACAAACCTGCAGGCACACAGCCTCAAAGAATGTGGAATTAAGCCAGGGATGTGACCAGGTGGAATTTTCATTCAGGACTGTCCTCAGCTTGGATCAGACGGGTTGGAAAAACCTTTTCCATGCTCCATGTTGGTTCTTCAAAGACTGTACCTAATATGGCCAGATTTATTGAATGAGTAAACCAAATTGTTCCAAGAAAAAGACAAAGTGTTCTTGTCACCTGCTTTAACAGTCTGCTGTCTTGAGTCCCCTTTTAGTATCTCAACAGAGAGGTGAGAGAACAGAGCTCAATAACTTTCCATTAAGGTAGGTGAGTAGCCATCTCCCCCAGCCCAAAGAGAGGCCTTGAAGACTGAACACTGGCCCCCTGGTAATCAGGGGGAAAATTCCCTGTAGAAAAGCAAGTTCTAAAATACACCAGTTTTCAAATTCCAAGGATGTTTTTTCCTTCCACGACCATTTTTCAAAAAAAAAAAAAAGCCATAAAATAACTTTCATTGTCATTTTTCATGAATTTAGTCACCCCTTCAGAAAGAATAAAATACTTGGCATCTTTTACAGAATAATCAAACTAGCTCTCAAAACCTGAGTGAATTAAGAAAATCTCCTTCCCTCTGTCTTCCACAAAGAGCTCTGTTACTGTTTTTTTATATGTAATAATGTAGTGATCCTGAACTTCAAGAGATCCTCTCTTACTTCCTTATGGCACAAAAAGAAAGAGTAAGAGGCAGGTATGGGTGAGATGGAGGGAGGGAGCATGTGGTAGAATCAGGACACCAAGCCTGAGAAAGGATTTCCTGTTGTCATCTGGCTTACTTTTACCTTTCCTCCCTGATTTTCAAACATTTGTGTGGTTACAGGAGCCAAGGGAAAGAGGCCAGTGCCAAGAATCTCTGGGCGCCAGGGCAATTCCGCCTTGTCACAGGAACTCAGTAAAATTGTTTTCCTCCATTTCTGTGCCTACTCCAAACATCACCACCAAAGAGAAGCCCTCCTTCAAGATAATCAAGTCAGCCTGGTGCAGGAGTGGTAAACTTGTGACAAGGACATGACAGGGTCTTTGAGGGTGGCAGAAACAAGAGGGAAAGGCTAGGAATGAATGATTTCCACTGGGGATTGCCTTGGGCAGTCTTTCTGGAATTTGGGGAATCAGCTGACTGGGTGTTGTAGGAACCCTTCTCTCCAGCCCCTGCTTTGCCTCCAATGAGCCATGCAACCTAGAGATTTACATCTAATCTTCTCTGGCTATTTCCCCATTTGGAGTGGAAACAATTCATGTTCTGCCAGCATGCACACCAGGTGGCTTTAAGAGTCTTAGCAGCTGGCATATGCACCAAATTTAAAGTATAAAAATGTGAGTTAGCATCACACCCTCTGAGGGGCAGCCATTCATATATTTGCTGTTTCTTGAGCACTTACATTGTGGTAAGTACTAGGTTAGTTTTGTGGCTCTGATTCAGATTTGGGGTAGGCTCATTTGGGGAAGTCCTCTTTGAGACTCGCTCAGTTTTGAAGCACTGAGCTGCCCAGTGAGGAGCACTGGGTTCCACCCAGTGGATTATGGAATTTCTGCTTCAATTGCAAGACCATTGGTGAGAAAGAAACCTGGTGGATCCCTCAGCTTGCATGCATTAGCGTGTTGGTAGAGTGAGGGCTCAGTGTGCACAATGTCTGTCATTCATCCAGGACCAACCCTGGAGTGAGCAGGTTGCTGGGTGGGTGAGAGAAGTGCAACTGATGGGGATCCCTCCTGTTCTAGGGGTCAGCACACTCCTTTGAAAAAAGAGAGGCTGGGACTTAAGTCAGGAGCTTCACAGGAAGGTCCTTCAAAGGAAGAGTTATGAAATCACTTTTAGTAGGGACCAGTTTTGTTGTTGTTGTTGTTGTTGTTGTTTTGGTGCTGGTGATCAAACCCAGGGCCTGACACAGTGCTAGGCATGGGCGCTACCATGGAGCTGCATCCCCAGCCCTGTTGTTTTTTTAATGGAATGATTTGGATACAAATCATGATAGTCAATTGCAAAAGCAGGTGGTATTTCAAAATGCATTTCAAATATATATGCATGAAACAAATCATGATGAGTTCAGTTCTTGCTGTGGGTTTCAGCTAAATAATAATAAAAAAGAAAGCTGTGAAAGCCCGTGAAACTAATTGTTTCTTAAGACCTCTTCCAGCTCTTAAATTCCAACTCTGGTTTCTTGGTCCCAGAGCCCTCATTTGAGAATCACTGTCGTCCTCTAGTGGTAAAATGTGGTCATAGCTGTTGCAGAAAATGCATTGAAGATTAAGTGGGAGGTGGCAAGGACTGGGGAACATTCTGTTCTGTTCTGTTTGGTCTCCTGATTGTAGGAAGATCTCAGACAGGCTTGTGTTTCCTCACTGCCCCTGCCTGATACCATCTCTCCATGACCAGCAAGGCTTGTGCTTCTTTAATATCCCAAGGCATGGGCTAGGACCACAATTAGAGTGGTGGGAGACTTTGGAAGGTTGTGGGAGTTATGTTGTGCAGTGTGCTGATCTAGTCCTATGAGGTTTCTTCCATTCCCAGATCCGTGGGTGGCCTTCCCTTGCCACCCAGCAAGTTCTAGGACACCACCCGGACAATCAGTGCTCTCAAAGACATTTAGAGACTGACAGAAGTCTTCCTGTGCACACACTTCAAGAGAAAGTCACGTGTTTCAGACTCACTTGATGTTTGCATTAGTAACTTAGGTGACACCTCTGACCGGTGTGGGACTAGGTGATGGAAACTTAAAATTGAGACAGTTGAACAAGGTGGGAGAGGCCAGCTTGTGTGCACATGTCTCTGTGTTGTGCCCAAACTTTGTTTCCTCTGAAATTTAGTAAGTGTAGGTGGTCCCAGTGGCTCACACCTGTCATCCTAACTATTTGGGAGGCTGAGATCAGGAGGATTGCATTTCCAGGCCAGCTGAGGCAAAAAAGTTTGCAAGATCCTATGTCAATGGAAAAAAGCTGGGCATGGTGGTCCATGCCTGTCATCCCAGCAGCAGCAGAAAGATTACAGTCCAGGCCAACCTGGGCAAAATGTGAGACACTATCCTCAAAACTAACCAGAGCAAAAAGGGCTGGAGGCGTGGCTCTAGTGGTAAAGTGCAAAACCTTAAGTTCTAACACCAGTACCACCAAAAAAAAAAAATTGACAAGTGTAAATTTACTTCCTGTCTTTTGATAGAGAGCCAGGGCCATTTCACTGAAATACCCTGCAGTCTTCATAGCAAGAAAACACACCCACAGGGGCCACTTGGGATTTCCCTTTTTGTTTACTTGCCATGGTGTGAGCACTTGCAACAAATATCATGCTAATCCTCTATTTCACTTCTCCCTTTTTGATCCCCAGTCGTGACACACCCACACCCAATTCATCAGCAAAAGTGTTAGAGACTTGACTTTATCAGTTCTGTCTAAAGGGTTTAACTTGGAATTTGTCTGCACCCACTTGTCTCCAGTTCACAAAGCATTTAATTCTGTAATTGGGTAGTAAGGACACATGACACAAGCAAGTCTGGAAACAAAATTAACTGGCTTTTGGTAAGCATCAGGTCACCTTCCAGTGCAGACTAGGCGGCAGGGACACTGCACATCCAGGGTTCAGGTTCCTGGGGGTCTGAAGCAGTGGAGCTTGTCCCCTGGGCCACAGGCACTGAGAAAAATGATCACTTTCCAATCTATGTAGCAATCTAGTACAATATCATCCATCTAATTGCTGCCCTTCTTGAAGGCTTCTGTCCATTAATATCAATAATTCAGAAGTAATCATTCAGAATAGGGAAGCAATACATTATGCAAGCATAGAAACAAAAGGAAGAGGATTAAAAAGGCTGCAGTGCTTGTGCAGGAAGAAAGATGAGTGAAGTCAAACTTCCTCATCTCTGATAGAGCCATCCTGAGAGAACACGAGAGAGTGGTGGTCACAGGCAGAGCACACTTGCCTCAGCACCCACACGAAGCTCCGGGGGTGAGACCCAGCTATCCTGGGAGCACAGAGCAGAGGCAGTGCCTCCTTTCCCGGCCCTGCTCCTGCAGCAAAGGACCCGCACAGTCTGCCCATCACACTGCAGCCACCAAGTCTGAAGGCTCAGATTGCAGAATCTGAGTCTAGCCTGAGGCATGAGAGGTCAACAGAACCCAGGATGGTAACAATTTTTGACTTTAGCTTCCTTGGCACTCTGCTTCTATTACTCAAGCTAACTGCTAGCAGGAAGGAATATTTTTAACCATCTTACAATGCATTTTTTAAACCACATTTTTTTTGCCAGCCCGTAACATTTTATATTTGGCTTTCCACATGGGAAACA